GACGACCGGACACTTAGCATATTAGGCTTTTATTATATAAGATAATAAAAGCCTAATATGCTAATTAGATTGGACAGCCAAATGACCTTCCAGACGTCCTTCCGGGCGACCTTCCAGATGAAGCTGGGGTGTGAGGGCTGAGCCCTTTGCACAAATTTCATGCATCGGGCCTCTAGTATATAGATAATAAACTATCAGAAAGAGAAACTAAAAAACAGTCCCATTTACAATTGCATAAAAAAATATGGTACCAAGGAATAAATTTAACAAAGGAGGTAAAAGACCTGTACTCAGAAAACTATAAGACATTGAAGAAAGAAACTGAGGAAGATACAAGTGGAAACATATATATACTGTTTTCATGGATTAGAAGAATTAACATCAATAAAATACTACCCCAAGCAATCCATAGATTCAATGTAATTCCATTAAAAAAGAAAAGAAAAATATCCCTCTCGGTTTTGTCTTTGCTACACTTGAGAATCTCTATTACATCAAACCAAGAGATGTTTTTTTCTTGGGAGTGAACACATCAAAAAGAACCATATTTTCCATTAATTCTGTAGCTGTTATGTGATGCTGGTAAACTTACTCTCTCAGAAGGTCTGTCACCTCACTTGGAATGGCTTAAGTTTCAGTTTCCCTATCTATCTTCAGAGCACAACTTCCTATAACATGCTTTACTTCTGGATCTCTGCCAGTCCAGACTTTGAACTCAATGTTTCACTCTAGCAATAATTTCCTACCTCACCCTTCTTCTCTCTCCAGCCTATCACATAGAATATCTATGGAGTAAGATTCTAATTCCATCCTGTCATTTCTTCTTCAGAAAATTCCAGGGATCGCCCATTTCCTATAAACTCTTGTGACTAGCCAGAAACTCTCCCGATACTATGCCTCACCTTACTTACTTAACCCAATCCCACCTCTTATTACTCCAAATCAGCAGTTGTTCCTCAAACACCCTGAACATTCTTCACTCTTAAAGTATTTGTTCCTGCCCTAACCGGTTTGGCTCAGTGGATAGAGCGTCAGCCTGCGGACTCAAAGGTCCCAGGTTCGATTACGGTCAAGGGCATGTACCTGGGTTGTGGGCACATCCCCAGTAGGGAGTGTGCAGGAGGCAGCTGATGGATGTTTCTCTCTCATTGATGTTTCTAACTCTCTATCCCTCTCCCTTCCTCTCTGTAAAAAGTCAATAAAATATATATTTAAAATAATAATAATAATAATAAAGTATTTGTTCCTGCAGTTCATCCTGCTGGAAAGCACCCCCCTCCACCTCGCCCTCCCATTTTAAGTTCAGTTTAAATTCAGTTCCTTTCTTCTGAACTCTCTCCAATTGCTACTGCGCACATCACATTTCTGAAATTAGGGACCATTATTGGTATACTAGATGTGTGAATTCGCGCACCAGTGGGGTCCCTCGGCTTGGCCTGCAGGATCAGGCAGGCCAAAACCGGCTCTCCAACATCCTCTGAGGGGTCCTGGATTGTGAGAGGGCCCAGGCCAGGCTGAGGGACCCCACTGGTGCACGATCGGGGCCGGGGAGAGAGGCGGAAGGTTGGCCAGCTGGGGAGGGACAGTGAGAGTGATCCAGGGCATGTCCAGCCTGTCTCACTCAGTCCTGATCGGCCAGACCCCAGCAGCAAGCTAACCTACCAGTCGGAGCATCTGCCCTCTGGTGGTCAGTGCACATCATAGTGAGTGGTTGAGCAGCCTTAGCATATCATTAGCATATTACACTTTGATTGGTTGAATGGCTGACTGGTCAACTGGACACTTAGCATATTAGGCTTTTATTATTTAAGATTTCTTTAGGACTTAATCCCATACTGACTTGGATTGTTATTTAACTGATTCTTGTCAGCATCATCTCTTTCCAACTAGATTATAAACTCCACCCAGAGTGAAGGTGCTCACCTGAAAAGCTGCATTTGTGTCTCCTCCTAGTTTTAGGTAGTTGTTAGGCATACATTTGGTACTCAATATATTTAAGAAATAGCTGTGGAATGCATGACCACTGACTCTACATTTTTTTCCTTTCTTTTACAGCTGGTGCCTGCCTTAAATACTGTATATTCCCAAATCAATGCTTTCAAACCTTTCCAACCACAACTAATAGGAAGAAATTCTTTTTATATTGTGACAAAACAATACATATTACTTTCACTGTGTGATATATCCTGGTGTTTTTTATACTATTTTTTAAAATACCAATCATGACACGCTAAATTGATTTGCTCATGACTAAAGAATTATAATCTACATATAAAAATACTTTATGCTCCTTGAATTCAAATGAGGTGTATAATTGTTCTGAAAAATGCTTACAACAAAACAGTACTTTGAATTCTCATTCTGTTCCTGACAGCTTGAGTTACAATTATTATCTTTAGGGTTATCTTGATCACTTCTTACCATATCCTATCATAGCATTTAGAATCAATTCCTCCTCCCACTTCTACTTTTTGAAATTTGGGACACCGTTAAAGAATAATGAACAAAGTTTCATCTAGATTTCTATTTCTTATGCTGTCTTGACAAACTTTAGTGACATATAAATAAACATTTCAGTATTGATTTTCATTAGACTGCTTGCAGGTGAATAAAAGCAGGTATGGTCATATTTTCGTGTCTTTACATATCTTAGGAACTTGCATGAGCCTTATTGCCTAATCATACAGAATCTGAATCCCAGTTTTGCCAAGTTACTCACCCTGAGCCTTTATTTCCACATCCATACAATGGGAATAATAATACCAACTTCAAAGAATTTTGGAGGGTTAAAGTAGATCGTGCAAGTACAGAGTTTAGGACAGAACCTGGGACACACAAGTGTTCCATGAGTGGCTTATCACTATAACAAATAAATGTATCTCAAACTTCCTTTAGGTTCATAAAGCAAGGTTCGGTCATAAGAACAAAAGTAAGATTACTTTTTCTCTTTAAATATGCAGCTCAGTGACTTTTCTTTTTTCTTTCTTTTTTAAATTTTTATTGATTGACTTTAGATAGAGGGAGCAAACCATCCATCTGTTGTTCCACTTGTTTTTGCACTCATTGGTTGCTTCCTGTATTGTATTGCCCCCTCCACCAGAGATGGAGCAACCTTGGCTTATCTAGACTACCCGGGTGGTGCTCTAACCAACTGAGCTACCTGGACAGGGCCTTTAGCTCAGTGATATTCAACCTTTTCCATCTAATGACACACAAACTAATTATTAAAATTCTGTGGCACACCAAACAATATATATTTTTTTGTGGATGACAAAAAATGGTATAATTTTGATTCGTTTACACGGGACAGCTATTATTGTGTTGGCTGTTGTCATTTTTTTATTTGACAATGTAAAAGAGGTCAGTGCCCCTGACTAGTAGTCAGATATTGCATATTTTTAAAATTCTTATGGCATACCAGTGTGTCTCTGTGTTACAATGGTTGAAAATCGCTGAGCTAGCTAATTTTTTGTGATTGGCTTATTTATTATATAAAATTCCACTGCTGGTTTTATATATCATAAATATCCCCAAGGAAAGGCCCTATTTGTGGTGCTGGATAAGCATTATATAATAAGAAATGTCTATGCAAACTAAAACAACATATACATATATGCAATAACTTGCCCAGTCATGCTAATCTCATTTGGATTTGTGTTCACTTTATAAAATGTCGTGTTTTTTTTAAACCACAAGTGCCTGTGTTAAATGAAGTGTGCTTTAACTCAGCAAAATTTTTGCACACAATACTTATACATAACACTTAAGATATTCACGGGGCTGCTTTTGAACAGAGGGAGACCTGACGCTTCATTTCAGCCTTCCAAATCAAAGCCTTGACCAGCTATTTTTATATTCCTCCTTACCTTTTTTTGTCCACTCTTATCTTACCTAGGTCTTGCTACTTCTAGGGTGTTTTTGATTGCAGGAGTTTGGCAGTGAACGGCAAACAACAAACTTTCCACAAAGTATTTTTCACCCTAACCTGTTCAATTGAACACTGCAAAAACAGTGTCTCATCCATTCTCCTGAAACACTGGCCCAGAGTGGACCAGGCACAGGGGATCTGCATTCCTTTCAAAATTACTACTTAAAGCAGTGGTTCTCAACCTTCCTAATGCCGCGACCCTTTAATACAGTTCCTCATATTGTGGTGATCCCCCAGCCATAAAATTATTTTCGTTGCTACTTCATAACTGTAATGTTGCTACTGCTATGAATCGTAATGTAAATATCTGATATGCAGGATGTATTTTCATTGTTACAAATGGAACATAATTAAAGCATAGCGATTAATCACAAAAACAATATGTAATTTTATATGTGTTTTCCAATGGTCTTAGGTGACCCCTGTGAAAGGGTCGTTCCACCCCCAAAGGGGTCGCGACCCACAGGTTGAGAACCGCTGACTTAAAGGGAGTGATCAAGATTCCGCCTACCCCAACGCAGTTGTTTGCTAAAGTGGGCTGCATTCTGCGCTGAGGCTAAGGCTTTGACAATTGAGCCAAAAGCGGAGACCTCTGGGGATTAACCTTCAGTCCCTACTCTCGAGATTGTTGCATACGCGTGTCAGGGGACGGGGGCGGGGTGGGGGGTAGGAGGAAGTGTACCCAGAAAGCCGGGGCAGAAACACACCTGCAACAGGAGGTAGAAACGAAGGAGTCAGCCTGTAGCCCCAGGCTCCACCGACTGCCACTCAGAGGCGACTTAATCCCACCCCGGAGATGGGGCGGAGCGTAGAAACTGCGTTCGAGAACCCCGCCCCTTTCCTCGACCTCGGCTGGCCCCGCCCACACGGCTGGCCCCGCCCACACGGCTGGCCCCGCCCACACGGCTGAGCCCTGCTCTCGACGCAGGCGGAGCGCGCACAGCCCCCGAGTCCGCCAGTCCCTGTCGTCACGTCCGGGGGCGGGTCGGGACGGGGACAGGCCCGGGTGGGGCCGGGACGCCGGTGGGGGGGCGGGGGGGGGGGCACCCGGACAGGGCGGGGGTGGGGTTGTGGCGGTGATTTGGGTGACAACGGTCAATAATGAAGGTGGCTGCGGCGAGGCGCCCGGCTCAGCAGCACCGAGTGGGGGTGGCGCCGGGGCCGCGCCTGTGAGACCTTGGGGCCGGCGCGGGGAGATGGGGGGCCGGCGTGGGGAGTGAGGTGGCGACGGCAGGAGCGGCGAGCGCAACTTTAGCCAGAGGGGCTCTCACACTTCCTCCTCCGGCTCCTGGGCCTCCACCTGCAGCCCCGCAGCCCCCGCGCCCCGCGGGACCGGGACGGCGACGGCAGGGGCATGTGGCGCTGGGTCCGGCAGCAGCTGGTAGGTACCTCCGTCCTCCAACCTCCCGCTCCTCCCGCGCGGCCTCTCGGGCCGGGGTGACGGGGCAGGGCCGGCGGCGCGGGGCCGGGCCGGGGCGCCGGGCTTAGGCCGCAGCGGAGGCGGGCGCGGGGCCGGGGCCGGGGCCGGAGCCGGAGCCAGAGCGGGCGAACCCGGTGCCACCCCGCGCGCGTCTCGCCTCCCCGCCCGGGTCGCCGAGGCTGGCTGCGGGAGGCGGCTGCGATCCGGAGCGGGGATCCGAGCAAACAGGGCGAGGGCACGCAAAGTGCACAGAGGCTGGCGTTTCCTGCCTCTGGCCTTCGGGACCCGTTGGAGGGGAGACTCGGCTTTGCCCCTCTCTCCCTGTTTGCAGTCAGCGCCAGTCCGGGGTGGCGTCGGTTACCCAGAGGAGGGCCCTGCCCTAGTCCGACCCCTCACCGCGGAAGGAGTGTTCCCCGAAGCCGGGGCGGGGGACGGAAGAGAGTCCAACACCCCGTTGAGTTTCGCAAGAGGTTCGTGTGGAGGTTATGCTCCTACCTTGTCCTCACCCCAGCCCCAGCTGAAACTTTGGGAATGTCCACCTTATTTTTTATCTCCCCCCCCCCCCCCCCCCCCCCCGGTCCTCCGGAAGGCAGTGTGAGCGAAATAGGGTTGGAGCCAGTGGAACATCTGGGGGCGAGGGGGACGCAGGCTTAGAAGAGGGCGATGTCAGGCGTGTCAGAAGCGCCACGTTGTTAGGGTTAATTCAGAGAGAAAAATCTCTCCTGCCTCTTGGCACAGACAGCACGAGGGCAGCAGTGACCATTTAGGCCCTGGCCGAGGAAGCCTAACCTGGTCTGGAGGAGGAGGTCTGTGCCTGGTGGCTGCTTCATTTCTAAATGGCTTGAGTTAAATGCTTCTGCAGCTCACTGGCTCCGTGTATTAACTCAAAAGGCAGTGAAGCAGAAACGGTTTTGGGGGGAGACGAAAGCGTTGGGAACTCCCTTTCCCTGGCTCTAGAACAGCCGTTTGACGGTGAAGACCGCGAAGTATGCTGTTTCAAGAGCCAGCCTTTATTTTGCAGTGGGCATTATTCTAAAAATAAAAAATCTTATATATGAAACTAGAACTGCCCGCCAGTCCCTCAGACAAATGTTGGCTATTTTTAGTTAATTGTGAATTCAGATAGCCCAGATATATGCCTTATTAGGAAACCAAGCTAATGATCTATAATAATAACAGCATAATATACTCATTAGACTGCACAGCCAAACGGGCCTTCCAGACCAAGCTGGGGCTGCAAGGGCCAAGCCCCTTGCATGAATTTCGTGCACCGGGCCTCTAGTATCATTATAATGCCCATATTATGGTAAGATTTTGTTGCAGTAAGCCTTAGCACAGTAACTGGACTCGAAGTTAATTATTTTTTCCTGAAGTTAATTATTACAGGTCTGATCTCATGCTTTTGTTTTGCCAGTCTTCCTGTATAGCAGGGTTATTTACCTGATGGTGTTTTTTTCTGGTAGATGAAGACACAGCTTCTCAGTGTTAGGTATTTTTGTTAACCTGAATAAAATCCTGCTTGTATAACCACTCATGTTCAAGACAGACAATCTGGTCATGTTTTTTGTTTTTTTTTTTTTTTTTGTTTTTTTTAAAAAAAATGGCTTCAAATGAAAGCAACCTAAAGGAAGGGGGAGAAGTTGTGTGGCTAATTTCTAAGACAAGTCAAACAAGTTGCTGTCTCTGATATTTAGTTGCTCACCTCCTTGGTTTTATTTTTAAGTTATCAGATCTTCTAAGTATGTAATCAAACCTGTGCCAATTTAGGACTTTGTACCTTTGATTAACTTTGTACAGTCACTTAAATTATACATTAAGGATAGTAATGAAAGCATATTTTACCATCCCAGTCATAAGCAGTTATTTTAGTTACTCTTCCAGGAATTACTCAAAGTCTAGTTTAGATTATACTTCAATTTGCTCAATGGATTGAGTCATCCATGTCTTTTAGGAAGAGAGTTATTTAAAAAATTGATATAAATAAGACAAAATTGGGAAAATTAATATGCAAATCAAGGATAGGTTTTTGGAGTTCTAAATACACTTCATTCATTATATGAATCCTGATTTTCAACAACTTGTCTTGCCCCCCCAGAATTATAGTCATTTTATTACAGAAATACCTACTGTGCTCTAGTACCTTCTCCTTAATTAAAGAAATGCTTGACTCCTTATCTCCACAAAGTATTTTCACTAACTAGAATCAATGAGGAAAATCAGGAGGTTGTCAGAAGGTTGATGTTTTCTGTTAGAGAAGTACTAGTAGAGTGGAAAGAAAAGATTGGAATACCATTACCTTTTTCTTTTCTCTCTGCGTGGGGAAAACATCGATGTGAGAGAGAAACATAAATGGTTTGCCCTGACCGGGGATTGACCCCGAACCTAACTATGTGCCCTGACCAGGATTCAAACCCATGACGCTTCAGTATACGGGACAACGCTCCAACCAATTGAGCCACACTGGCTAGGGCTCTCTTTCTTTTTTGTTCGTTCTTTTCTGGCTCACAATGAAGTTATTTTACACTAAGAACAATTTTTATGTCTTTTTGGTACAGTTAGTATTATCCATAGTGTACTCATTTCTAGCAGCATATTATGTGTATTAACTCAGAGAAAAGATGACAGCATCTTCATTATAATAGTGGAAATGTCATTAGCTACTGTTTTCTAATATTTAGACTTGTATAGTAGTTACTAATCATATTTGCTATTAAAATTCTAATTAATTAAATTAAAAATTCATGTGACTATTACCATATTGGACAGATCAGAGTAGAACATCATCGTTATCACAGAAAATTGTACTGGACAGCACTACTTAAGACTTTTAACTGAAAATCTTTTTCAATAAATATTTTAGTTGATATGTAATATTTACAGGGCAATGTAATGCTATGTTTTTAAAGCACATCCTTTGTGCAGACATTATAATGTGCTAAAGACTGAGGATGCAAATATAGGTCAGTGAGGGCCTTAATCTTTTTGTGCTCAGTGTCTTACACAGTACTTAACAGAGTAGACATTGGGTTCATGTTTGCTCAATAAATAGGTGAAGAAAGAATGAATCCCATGGTATTGCTTCTGTGTTCAGAGATACAGTGACAAAATCCAAGAGTGACCAGTCCAGAAGAAAGCTAGAAAATGGCTGCAATTTTACAAAAATGCAACTGAATGTTGTTACAGTAAGATGCTGTTTCTTAAATTTTTCCATAAATGTAGTCCCTTCATATTTGTTTTGCAGTGGTGGAAGGGCTGATAAAATTGTTTTCTGATTCACTGAGAAAAATGGAAAGCTCTTAACCTAAACTGTCTCAACTTTCTGTTTTCTCACCACACACACTCACTGAACTTGTGTATAATTGTACTAAATTCGTCCCTTTCCACCTGTCACAAGGAAGGTGTGATGGTCCTCTTTTTAAAATTAACTGCTTGTGCTATTAATCCTGGTCTCCACAGTCCCCATCAAGTATCTGTACTTGTATGTTTACTCTTTACCTTTAACCTGTGAACATGTTTAAGCCTCTCTGCTATTTTATTTTGTACTGTACCTGAAAATGTCATATCTTTTTCAAATTTCTAAAAAATAGGTCTTTTCTGAATAACTGCCGTCCAATACACATGAAGCATTGCTAGTTCGAATTGAGATATTCTTAAGTATAAAATAAACACAGGATTTCAAAAACTATGACGAAAAAAGAATGTAAAATAACCTCAATTTTTTATATGAATTACATGTTAAAGTAATATTTTGGATATATTGGGTAAAGTAAAATATTATAATTCATTTTACCTGTTTCTTTTTACTTTAAAAAATACGATTACTAGAAATTTTAAAATTATAAATGTGGCTTGCATTTGTGGCTCTTTTATATTTCAGCTAGTGCTGCTGTGTTTCTATATAGTATATAAGTCTAGATATCTCAAGAGACTAAATATCTGAGGGTAGGGGCTATATCTTGCTTGTCTTTATATCCCTTGCTCTCAAGACAGTAGCTGGCCCATTGAAAGTACTCATATACCAAATGTTGGTTGAATAAATGAGTGTCAGATTTATTTCAGCATCAGTTTGGAAGTACCTGCATTCTTTGCCTTTCTCGGAATGGAGAGTAGGAAAAGGAAGCTAAGGCTTCTGATGGTATTATTTTGATGTGGCTAATAAGTTTTAGTCTCATGAATTAATATTTAAGAACCTAGATCTTTGAATGTTTGCTTTTTTACCTCTTATGTTCAGGCATGTTATCTTAGATACCCAGTTTTTCATTTGGTTAGGGAGAGTCAAGCGTTAGAAGAATCCCAACTATCCCAGCAGTACTAAAGTAGGGACCTTGACCAGATCCTTAAAGAACCTTATGATGCCAATATTGTCATTAAATGTCCCTGTAGCCTGTTTTCAACTTAGCAGCTAGAGTGATCTTATTTAAACACAAGTTAGATCATGTAATTCCTGTATTTAGAACCGTCTAAGGACTTGCCTTCTTGCTCACAGTAAAAACCAAAGTCTCTACTTGGTCTGTACTCCCAGCTCCCCAAATCACTTCTCATTTCCCATCACTCTTCACTCACTTTGCTTTATCCACACTGACCCTCTTGCAATTCATCAGAAGTGTCAGGCCTACCTTGCTTAAATCCCAGGATCTGTGCCCTGGCTGTTACTTCTGCCTGGAATGTTCTTCCTCCAGTTATCTGCTGTCTCCTTTACTCCCTTCATGTCTTTACTCAATTTTTATAAGTGAGGCCTTTTCTGGACATTCAGTATAAAATTGTAATGCTCCCCAACACTTCCCTATCCCCCTCCCCTGCTTTTTATTTCTCTTAGCACTTATCACTATTTAATATACTCTATACTTTTATTATTTCTCTCATTTATCCTATGAAGGCAGTAATTTTGGTGTATTTGTTTTAGTTCTCCATATAACCACAGCTGTTTCTCAACTCTGCATCCACATTTAGGTAATACCATT